ATTTTGGAAAAGTAAAAGAAAAATTCTTTCATTGTTTTACAAACCCTCCTCCACGCCATGTCCACTCCACCATGTAGCCTTCACTCCAGACTCTTGTCATGACAAAAATACCTAATCACATATCCATTTTAAACAGTTTTCTCCCTCATCTGTTTCAGTGCAGTATACATTACTGAACCCATCTTTCTCAGTCTCTCCCCAAGCCCAAGGTCAGTCCTGTTTTACAATATTGACACCATGCAGTATTTGTCCTTTTGTGACTGAGATACTTCACTCAGCATAATGTCCTCCAGAGCCACCCATTTTGAATAATATTGCATGAGTTCCTTGTTTTTCAACGTAGCATAGTATTCAATTGTGTGAATATATCACAGCTTCTCTATCTATTCGTTTGTTGATGGGCACTTAGGTTGTTTCCAACTCCTTGCTATTGTGAACAAAGCTGTGATAAACATGGGTGTGCATTCCTGATAATCTTTACAATGGTCACTCAGTAGAATAATTTATTCTCTAGGATGCTGAGCCATGAAAACTCAGGAAGTCTAATTAATACTATACCACAACTGAAAAATATATCACCACTATACTATTTAATAAATTTCATTTCCTTTGTATTAGTAAAACTTTTATTTTATGCATTTAATAATATTATTATCATAAAAGATTGTTAGGCTTTGTGGAATTGCCAAAAAGACCCCATGACACTAAAAATGCTGAGCATCCTTGATGTAATGCAAGTTTCCACAGAATATAAGAGGCTGTTTTTTAGTAATATAATTTTAACAGGTTTTGGTTCTCCCTTTGATGTCCTCACCACAATGGTCTCAGCCTTTGTTGGTTTGTGCCAAGGCTCTATGATATGTTCCAATTATAAAATAATACTTTCAATATGGTAACATTGCAATTCATAATGGGAATTTTCTTTCTTTACAATTATTTCAGCAGTTTGCTAGATAAATCTTATACAGTATTTACTATTCTAGCCAAGCAGAACACTAGGCCAAATTAAAAACATTCACCTAGAACACCATCAGCCTGTAGTTTAGAGAGAAAGTGAAAGAGATCGAGAGGAAGAGAAATTGAGAGAAAGAATAAGGAGGGAGTGTGTGTATGTGTGTGTGTAGTAAATTTTTTATTTATGTTTTCTTGCTGCAGATCTTGGAAGCATCTAAGGTTTAACGGGGATTTTCAAGCATTCCAGACTGCTGCCTTGCAGAAGTTCTGAGTCATGGTCTATGGGTATAACTGGCAACACTGTGGACCCCAGGACAGCCAACCTCACTAACATTCCCTCTAAGCAGAAACCCAGAATGTGCCTGGTCTGAAATTGCAGCAAGCACTAGAGAAAGAGTTCTTTGTTAATGGAAAGAAGAAAAGAGAAGAGGGCTTCCAACAAACTGCAACAGACATTTCAGCATTCTAAAGAGCCCACCTTCCTTATCAACCAAGCCATCCTTTCGAGTGACTCTCAATCTAGTACTCTACCAGAATCAGAAGGTGTCAATCTTTCTGAACACGTAAAGACAAACTCTCAAAGAAATAGACCTGGAACTGTGATATTGTCAAGACGGTCAAGTACAAGAATTATGTCAGAAAGTCAGTTTAGTCCTCCTGTAATCCCATCCCGCAGGCCTGGATTCAGGGTATGCTATATCTGTGGTCGTGAGTTTGGATCTCAGTCAATCTCCATTCATGAACCTCAGTGCTTGGAGAAGTGGCGGATTGAAAACAGCAAGTTGCCCAAGCACCTGAGAAGACCAGAGCCCTCCAAGCCACAGCCTCTCAGTGGCAGTGGATTCTACAGCCTTCAGGAAGCTAATGAGACTGCATTCCAGAGCGCCCAGGCTCAGCTGCTGCCCTGCGAACACTGTGGTCGCACGTTCTTGCCAGACCGTCTTCTAGTTCACCAAAGAAGCTGCAAACCAAAGGATGAGGGTCCTAAAACACTAAAGCCCAACAGCTCTCATGATTATACTAGCCTCAGGAAAGCACCCAGTGGAATTCCAGCCAGACCAAGGACTCTCCTCTGCTACATTTGTGGCCGGGAATTTGGCACTCTCTCCCTTCCTATTCATGAGCCCAAATGCCTGGAAAAATGGAAAATAGAAAACGACCGGCTCCCCAGAGAGCTCCGCAGGCCTCTCCCACAGAAGCCCCAGCCTCTTTCATCTGGACAGTCTAGTCAGGAGGGACCAAGTCAAGTTCAGCTTGTGCCATGTCCAAATTGTGGCAGGACCTTTGCCCCAGACCGCCTTATGGTGCACCAGAGAAGTTGTAAAGCACCATTGAAAGGACAGAATCTTACTTTAGGAAGTAAAGGTGGCCCAAATGAGGCCACTAATTCCAAGCAGCAAAAGAACATGGCCACACCCACTGTGTCTGATAAGGTAATTCATGTCACGTAAGATGTGCTAAATGGACCTGGGACATATAATGACTCTAGAGAAAGGAGAGAAAATGGTCCCAGATCAGTCACCTCCTCTTTCCAGGAAGGAGGTTCGTTATTTTTGCCTCAATGCTGTCTGTCCAAGCTGACCTCTGTTGGATTCCAGGACCTATACCTCTCTTAACAAAAGTAGATGTAAGAATACCCTTGCCCGATTGCTTCCTATTCTTCTTCAGTTATGCTGTATAAAGAAGGACTTCTTTCTTTCCTGATCCCTCATCTCAATAATCCCTGGGAGAGACTGTTAGTTGAAAATGACTCATTAATGCTGTGTCTACATTACAGAGATATAATTCCCATTCCAACAGCCAATATTTATTGTCGGTTTATTTTAGTCATCTACCTTAGGAATTCATTCTTGGCAAGGCTGGGTTATGTTGAGTTTATCTTACTAAAATAGAATCTGTGTCAAAAACCCCAGATGACTTTAGCAATAATTAAACACTGGTGCACTTTCAGAAATACACATACTCTGCAAATATAACATGTTTTCTTTAAACACTTAGATGATTGTAGTCTTTATAACATTAACCCTAGTGTAGCTACTAAAACAATGGTTATGTTCACATTTCTAAGAGCTACTAAATTCCCTTCACTGCTTCTATAACCTGTGTTTGAGTTGAATTCCAGGCTCTGAGCTCTAGCATGGGCCATATTTAAAAAACAAAAGCAAACAAAAAACCATAGTTCCAGGTGTCCCCAACTTACTGAGTGAAGAGTTGTTGGCACTTTATCTGGTGTTTAATCATTATTTGAGGACTATAGAAAGATTCCCATGAGAGGATCTCCCTAATTTTTGTCCTTCCATTAAACCAAGGGAGTAGATGTGCTGACAAACAGTGTACTGACAAACAGGAGACAGTCCAATTGTTCTCTCCATAGCTTACTATTTGAAGCATCCATCCAGTGGGAACTCTTTAATGTGCTATTTTAGGAAAAGAAGGTTATAAAATTTACTGTAAAAGATAAAATCAGACATACTCGTTGAGGGGTGGGCATCAATTTTTAAATATAACTTTAGTTTTATTCCTTTGGGAAATATTTAATCCAGTTTCTTATCTTCATGTTTAGAATAAATTTACTGGTTTAGAAGATTCCAGTACAAAGTTTTGGAAGTGGAAGAGTTAGAATAACACATTCTGGACAAGGTTTCTGACACACGCTGAAGAAAGTGCAGTTCATTTCTCCATCTAATTAAAATCCAAACTCTTAAGTATGGCATGGGCTGCAAGCTGGTCTTGCAAGCCTGGTCTGTTTTTCCCATCTGTGTTGTTCCTTTTCTTCCAAAATGTGTGGGGTCTGAATTCAGAGCAGAAAAGAATCCACGCCTCTGGGCTATAAATGAGAAACTCCTTTCACTTTCTGCCTTACAGCCCTGTTTCTTGATTGTATGCATTTACTTCAAATGTTCTTATTACAGATCTCCAGATAGGGAAGAGTGTGGTCAGGATTTCTGTGCTTGTTGTTGTAACACATACTTTGTGCTCCCATGAGCGGAGCCAACAGGCTGAGCACAGCATGTTCTCACTCAGTCACGACTGCTGAGTGGCTGGCCTGAGCCCACGGGTCACATAAGACACCTTCCTGACTCACTCCATCATCTGGAGGGGATAACATCAGGACAGAGGCCAACATTAGGCCCTCCATGACCTTTGTGTTTAGATCAGAGAAGGGAAGTCCATCAGAACTAGGACATCTGGTGCTTTTGGATATGTAGATTACGTACAACCCTGCCCCCAGACCTGAGAACAGACATGACAGTGGGAAATTGGCACCCACGCCTGTCAGGATGTGTGCTGGCCAGTTTGGAGACCACACAGGCTTTTATAGAGGGCATAGAAAGGTCATCCAACATAGGGTCTCTTTAGCTGCCAGATGTAGAATGCAGAAAACTCCTAGATGCCAGAGAGGCACGAGACTTCGAGGAGAAGATTGCCATTCTAGTGTTTTCAGCAGAAAGCTTTTCTGTGTTGTTGTTGGTAGGTACTGTCAAGTTAGTTCAAACTTGAAGCAACTCTATGTGCAATAGCACAAAACACTGGCCAGTGCTGCAATAGTTTCCTCTCAATAGTTCCCAACCGATAGCTTCTTTGTTTGAGCCTATTGCTAGATTCACTGTGTCCCTATCAGATTTTATGAGATCGAGTGCATTCAGGGCCTTATGACCATAATGATCTTCCTCTTTTCCCATGACTCTCTACCAGTGTGTGAGAGATACCATCTCACTATCCTCACTGTACTTCTTTAAACACTTTCTTTCTGGGTAGTGTAGTATTCTTTTTCTGTTACAATTTGATCTTATACATATTTTCCTTCCTGACTGTGAAACATAAGCTTTCTTTTGTACAATTAAAATGTCTATGTATTTCTTCTCATCACACAATGAACAATGACTCATTCTGATTGATTCAGAACCAACTCCACAGCTGACCCACCAGTAGATTTGCAGAGGCTTTCACAGAGAGGAGATTCTCTATCTTTCTCCTTAGGGGCAGTTGGTGGATTCAAACCACCTATGTTTGGGTTGGCAAGTACAATTCCTTACTCACTAGGCCACTAGAGCTCCCTTTATCCTTATTGTTGTTGTTGAGTACCAGTGAGTCAGAACCAACCCTTAGCTGACCCTCCAGTGGGTTTTCAAGAGGCAGTACATTGCAATGGAAGAGATTGTCCACCCTTCTGCAGAGCAGCTGGTGTATTTTAACTGCGTGCCTTCAGGATTGCAGCATAGCTTCTTACCACGAGGCCATCAGAGTGCCCTAGGAAGATTAACTTCACATTAGCATCTTGATCTAACTTTATATTACAGTAAGTTATCTTGTCTGATGTTCTCAAGTGCCTCAATCTTTCTGTTGTTGCTGTTCTCAAGAATATACATAGCAACACATACACCAATACATCTCATTTTACACCTACAATTCAGTTACATGTGATTCCATTCTTTGAGTTGTGCACCCATCTCATCTTTCTTTTCTGAATTGTTCCTCAGTCACTAACATAAACTGCCCGTAAGCTTCCTATTTAATCTTTTGAGTTTCTGTTGTCACTTTAATCTCATATAGATAGTTTCTAGAGCATAATGCCCAAGGCAGACTGGTTTTTTTAACTGGTTAAACTATTTTTTACTAGTTAAACTTCACTATTGTTTGACTTTAAGAAGATTTCAGGAAATTGTTTTGGTTTAAGTTTTTAATATTATCTAAAAATATCAAGAATTAACACAGCCCTCATGGCTGCAATAAGTCTGGAGATCAAGAAAATGTGAAACAATTTTGCATTTTCCCCTCCCTGGTCAGGATTCTCCCATGGAATCTTTGATCAAAAATTTAGCAATTCTAACCAAAGACCATCTACTTCTTCTGGTTCTGTAGCAGACATGGTAGTCATGGTACTTGTTCATGAAGAGACAACTGATGAGTCCATGTACTCCTTCCATGTTCCTAACTCTCCTGCGTTCCCTGTTGCCTCCAGTGGATAAAAACCAATTGCCATGCTTTGATTGAGCATTTGCAAACTCTGAAGACCCTAGACTCTATATAACAAAGTAGAACGTAGAATAGAGGCTCTAAATGTGTGGGGATTTTTTTTAAGACCAGTTAACTGAGATGCTCCATGAAACCATGATCTTAACCTCTAAACCAAGGAACCACATCTTGTGAGGTCTTAATTATACATAGGCAGTCTCAGGAACTACTCATTTTTTACCATTGATGTAAATATATTCAGCACACGGCTTTTTACCAGTGTACAAGTTATTAACAGCAATTACACTAATCAGCTATGCACCTAACTTTAATCAATGTGATCTTTTTTCTATCATTATTAACCTTCCCCGTTCTTCATCCTGGACCCCTGTTAACCACTAATAAACTTTGGTCTTTATGAATTTGCCTTTTCTTTTATATAAGTGGTGTCATGCGATGTTTACGTTTTGTGATAGACTATTTCACTGAGGATAATTCCTTCAGATTTCCTCTGTATTGTAGCATGTATCAAGATCACTTCTTCACTAGCTGAACAATATCCATTGTATATGTGTGCCACCTTTTGTTTGTTGTTGTTATGTGCCGTTGAGTCGCTTGCGACTCATAGCAACCCTATGTATAACAGCCCTAAACTTCGCTCTGTCCTGTGCCAATCGCATTGTCTCTGACACTCCCATCCCAATTATGCCAGTCACTGAATCAATCCACCTCATAGAG